TCCAGACAAAAAAGAAGGAATACATGAGGAATATCAAATTAGGACAAACTCGCAGGTCAAACATCGCTATCTATGATTGAGACAATAACCATAAAATTGATTTTGAAAATGCTTGTATCATTGACAGAGGAAACTACAGAACGCGAAAAACTTTAGAATCATGGCACACTAGAATAACTAAAGCAGCTGATAACAACTCAAGACCACTTCCACCACAATATAGAATTGTTGAAAAAAACAGTGACTCTACCTATCATATAGAACATTATATCATATTACTTTATTTCTGCTTTTTCATTTATGTATTTATGTCGTGTGACACCCCATTCATTCCAAGGCTGTAGACAGACAGCCGAAAGCTTGTTTGATGAAATTTTATATTAATTAAATTTGACTGCATTATTATGCAATTGTTAAAGAAATTCTTGTTGTAACAGATGTTAACCTGTCGAGGTATGTAGGGTGCATCAAAAAAGAAATTTGCACGTTAATCTATTTTGAATTTTCAATACTTAATCAATAAGCTTGTTCCATTGGCGCATTGCCTTGCATGTTTAGCTCTACATCATATTCCCAGGAGCAGAATAGCTTTTGTTGGTAAAATGATATGTAATATACAAAACGAAGCTGTAAATACTTTATGTACCGTGGTGTTTGTATAGTGATAGGCATTGAAAATATCACAATTATGATATCATTTTCTTGAGAGCTTTCTTATGATACACTCTGTAGAGCGTTTTAACCTTACGTCCTAGCCGCCATATCAATGTACTAATTGAAGAGATTATTAATAATTTTCTTTGGTTTGGTCACAGAATAAATATCGTAGCGGAAGGTCTACTCGTGTCGGAACCTTTGATGCTCGTGTCCCTCACTTTTTGGAAGCAACTTCTTAACAGACACGCCTTCCAGCAAAATACTTCAACTCGATTGCAATAGAAAATAAAGATGTTTTTAAAAAGATAACGTTTTGCACATATTGATTTTGTAAAAGTATCTTACTGGGAAGTCACGCATACATTGTGAAAAAATACCTCACAATTTTAGCGAAATAGGCCTTCAGTTAAATGTCTATTCTGTGGCTTGGTGCACAAATATGTTTGCTTCCTCCATTAATATGTTGATACTTGAGAAATAAACGAAAACGCTCAATAGAGGTCTTAAAATCGTTGGCAACAGCACAAGACACTAAACGTACTGAATCCATCTAGTAATTCCAAAATATTCAGGGAAATAATAAGAAAATTTTGAATAAGACAACCTGCACAGGAATGCAGAGAAAAATTGCGAGCTCTGCTAAAAACAAGAACTAATCTTCGATGTTTGGTAATATTTTGGATCAAAGAATGCAAGTCTTTTAGCTACAAAAAAATTCAAATCCTGCATTTTGGAAAATGCGCTTATTTGACAAATAGTCGGTGATCATCTTAATAAGCTTGATGTTACTGTATATGGTGGTTTATTAAGTAAAATAGCTTTAAAACAATTTTGCCTTACTCAGAATAATGCTCAAGAATTTTCCTCTCCAATTAACGTACAATTGACATGAGTGTCTGACCCAGTTTCAAGTACTATATCAGTGACAGTCATGCCATTTACACTTTTGTGAAGATAAAGGCGCCTGCGAGTAAGGTCTTTTTGTCCTTATATGTTTTAAGGTTTCGGCAGTATAAGACAAGGGTGATGGATCTACGATGACCCCTGCTGCTTCATTTCGAAGTATCTGCAAAGTTTTCATCAGTAAACACTTAATTTTGTACCTCCATACAGAGCTTCCTTGCGCCAACAACGCCTAAATGAGATTAATGTAATAAAAAACTCTTGCAATTTGTGGAAGAAAGTGTTTCATTCACTTCAAAAATCCCATATGCTGAGAGAAAGTTTTTTCAAGAATATAAAGGAACTCAAAATTAAAATGCATACGTATTTAAAAAAAGTAACAGAACGATGAAATTTTCAAGGAGAAATGTAATATAAATAAAAGATTTAAAAATTTATCTATTACAAATTCCTCTTTACATGATCTGTAATCCAATCCAATCTACTACAATCTATTAGAATTCTATACTCACGAGTAAGGCAAGCTGCCATCATGAAAGATGGCAAAAACTGACGATATTTGCAACTAATGTCTACTTTCCTAAATTGATATTCGGTTGCAGAGCTAATAGTCTAGGCTTTTTTGAAATGTTTGATAGGATTAGCTTTTTAGAGTTTCATTTAGCTTATTTATTATTTTGTGTTTTGCTTCTTGCCACCTTTCACATTTTCACAATGATCTCGTTGTCGTTAATCACTTTTACTTGGCCTGGATAAATTACCATTTGTCAAACATTCCGTCCCTTAATGTTCAAAGTTCAGGGTTTATTATATAATATTGGGCTTTATCTCCAGGTTTCAGACGGGACTTAACAACATAGCGGCTTGATAAGACATCTCGAATAGAGTAGCGCCAGTTGTATGAACGTGTGGCAAAGTAAGAAAAGTTCTCTTTGAAAAACTTGTGGCTTTCCTCTGCTTTCATTTCTTGACTCGGTGAACTCATTATTGCCATCTGAACAAGATCATAATTTGGTTTTGCGGACAACGCCTCCAATTTACTTGTGTCTGTTCTTCTCGTACACATTTATTCTCACTGTCTTCATCTTCTTGAATCAGTAATATTAAAGTAGTAGAGAAAGTCGAGTTTGACTGTGTCAGAATACCATCAGTTTTCTGTATTCAATTGACTCTTGTAGGAAAGTTCCTACAAAGATTGCGCTTTACTTGATTACGTCTACTTGGCCTAAGTAAATTTAGATAGTCAAACATTTCGTCACTAATTTTGCAAGAGTCTGCGTTCAATGCATATTATTGGGCTCCAACTCCACACTTTTGAGGTAGTTTGATAAAACGTTTGTCTGCCAGGCATGTCGTTCACAAGAACACCAATCGGTTTGCGTTTTGACAAAGTGTGGGAAATTGATCTTGAAGAATTGTAAATTTTTCTTTTTTCCATCTTTTCATAAAGTGAACTCATAATGGCTATTTGAATAAGATCTATGTAAGTGTAACTGGTTTTTTTTTTGAAGTTGCTTCCCGTGGCTTCATTAACGATTGTTGACTGCAGGAAAATTTGATATTTTTACGGCTATTTTCTAACCCAAGGATTAAATTGTTCTCAGAAACCGTTGACATTGCCTCGAGTATCTCTTTTTGAGAAGGAGTGTCAATTTTTGCCACACTACACTTGTCTGAATTAAAGATTTTTTCGTCCATAGTATTGGTTTGAATTCTGTAGTAGAAATGGTGGTTACTTTAGTATTATGCGCAAATTTATTTGACTGCATACAGTATGGGGTTGGAACGATGAATTGACTTTGTGCTTTGGGACAAAGCACTCTCATTCCTAAATGGCTTTTAGAAACTAACTGATCCAGCAAATTTGATTCTATTAACTGCCTTATAATCTTAAAATTGTACAATATCACAATTCTGTTGTATAGAAAATAATGAAAAAGATGAAGGCTCTGTTTACATGAGACCAAAAGAAGTCAAACCGGTAACAGGTCGTGTCGGTTATACTATCATTTATGGTAGATGTCTACGTGGGATGGTGAAAAAAATAAATTAGAGCGGTCTGAAGTTGTACCGTGTGCTGAACCGATCCGACTGTGTTCAGAACGGAATGAATCAAAACCATCATCAAATGTAAACTCAAATTAACGTTCAGACCGCTCAGAAATGGCAGCAACGCATGTGAGCAATAGCAAATTATAAAGCAAAAAATGGCCAGCAAGTGCAAACCTAGCCTGCAAAGGAATTTCTCTGTAACTTGAACAATGAGCAAAGTAAGGAAAGTTGTGTATTAAAAACTTGTTGATTTCAGTACTCGTCATCTTACGGTTTGGTGAGCTCATGATTGCCAACCGGATCAGATTGATGTAGCTGAAAAGGGTTTTATTGGAAACGCTTCAATTGTTCACCATCCGTTTGTTGAGTTGAGGAAATGTTTCTATCTTCACCGCTGTTTTAAGACGCAAATCTTGAAATAGTGTCAAAAACCATCGAAAATGACTCCTTTGTTTCTTCTTGAAAAGAAGTATAATTTTTTTCTTTCCTGCAAATCCTGTTATAACTCATCTTTCTTTTGCAACTAATATCGGTTCAGTTCGTACAATTGAAATGATGACTTTTACAGATGACTAGTTTATTTAACTGCGTTAAATTGCGCAGCAATGGTCGATCGGCTTGGTGATTTGAGACAAAGAGTCAAAGATACTATTACTCCCCTGCGCACCAGAAACTCGCCAATGTAACCAACTTCATACTAATGACTTCTTAGGAAATCATATTGACATGACATACATAGAAATAATTGCAAGGACTTCTCACAAAAATTGCTCATCTTTGAAATCATTCGAGGTTTAGAATTTAAAATATTTAGCAGTTATTGATTCCCAAACATCCGTCAAGGCAGTTAAAAACAATAATACATAAAAATTGCCATGCTTCTTGTTGCAAGTTAAAAGCATGAAATTCACTTCAATTTGTTTGCTTGTCTTTGAGGATTAATTATTTCTTGTATAAACCTCAGCAGTTTTTTGAAACACCCTGTAGATGCAGTGACGTAGCCAGCCAGTGTGTTTTTATCATTTTTATGCCAAAACATGAAAAGAAAGGCACATGTTTTTCTTTATGGGAAATAGGATTACATAAGGATTGTGTATTAACACAATTTTCCGTAAACAAGAGCAACGTAGCATTTTCAAATGTAGTGTTTCGAGATAAAAGAAACATGCTATTTAAAGAGAATGATTTGAATACTTCCTAATTAACACGGCAAAATAAAGAAGAATAAAAACTTCCCTTTTTTCATAATCCATGTATTTCTAAAAAGAAGTGCTATTCTAGCATAAAAAACAAATTAGAAATAAACAGTGTAAAAATTTTTCCATTAAGAAGCTTCTATATGCACATGCCCGCATGCGTTGTACTTTTTAGATTTAGTTCTATTCAAGTTATTCTATATAGTCATCTTCATTTAAGCCTACAGCGAAATCCTCGTAATATGGTGATTCCGTATTGTTCGCCATTAAGAGACCGTGCTGTTCAGGAGTGAGTGCAGTAGGATTGCTTGCGAAAAACATCGAGCGTCGAGGGGTCAGTCGTCGACCGATAACAGTGTCGTTAAGAATGAAACCAGTTGCAGTACGAAGGAGAGGTACGTCTGAAGTCGTGGAGTTGGTTGAGCGCGACAGGTGTAAAGTTCCTTTGCTATTCGGCAAATTTTCCACTTCTTTAGGACGTTTTTCCTGAATACTTTCCTCTTGCTTGATTTGTACCATAGGTAAATGATTGTCTCTTGTATCACACGAGCTCGCGTTTGATGTCCAGTGTTTGTTTTTACTGCCCAAATCGTGAGGAAACTTAACTAACCTATCCTCCTTTGATAAGATATGCTCAATAGAGGAACGCCAGTCTTGAAAACTATCGGCATAAAAGGGAAAGTTCTTCGCGAAGTAATCATAGATTTCTTGAATTGTTATCTTTTCATTTGGTGAACTCTTGATCGCCATCTTGACTATCTTGCGGTAAGGAGGCGCTTGTAATTGATTTGGTTCTGGTTTTGCTGTTTCGCCGTGGAGTAAGCTGCTTTTCGAAACGAGTGTCCAGTAATGAGATTTGCTTCCATCTTCCAACACTTGAGTGGACTTAGAAAAACATTTGTGCTGTAACAAGCTTTTGAGTGCGTCGTACTGCAATTGTATTCGACAATTAACGAAGTAAGGAGGGTTGTCGCAGATGAAATTAATGATATCAGATTCTTTCATCATTCCACGTGGTGATTTTCTGATCGCTGTTTTAATAAGATCGGCGTAGCCGCTTGTTCCACTTGTGAGTAGGTCAGATTGCATATTTCCCTGTTCTACTGGCGTGCTACAGTTTGGGTTGGTAACTTCTCTTTTGCCCAATTCAGTTTCAAAGCCCGAAATGTTCTCAGAATCTGCTATACTCGCTTGCCCCATTTGAGAGGTAGCGTTAGTTTCTTTATTGGTTTCACACTTGTCAGAACTCATCTTACTTTCAGCTATACTGTGGAAATAACTCTTGCAGTTGGAAATGAGAAACTTATCAAAACATGTGCACATTTATTTAAGATTTAAGTGACGTAAGCAATCATTGAGACGTAGGATTTGTGATTTGGGACAAAAACCCACTTCCAGTGTATGCCGTCACAAACTCGTTGATGCAACGAATTTAATGCTAATTGTGTGCTGAGTATAAGGTGAACAATGGTCCCTTTTTTGTCGGTGGGATACACACTCTTCAAAATTTATCAAAAAACTTGCACTATGGTGACACTCACTAATGATGTTTTTATATTGTATGCAAACTTTTTAGCATGATCACGTGTGTTTTATGGGATTAAGAATCCCGAGAAGTAGTTAGAAATTCCCGAGTGAATTTTTATTTAATGCAAGGTATCTTAATCCCATCGGACACAAGTGATCAAGCTCTAACCGTCTTAGAACATGACCAAAGTCGCGAGAAATTATTTATGGTATTAAATTTAAGATGCCCTGTTTTCATTTAAATGATTATCAGTTAGTAATGATTATTTCAATGTAAGAGAAGTAAATAAAATTCTAAATTGAAAAGATGTATTTAGGCAGTAGTTTTAACGTGGTTTATTTTAATTTGTACACTTATAGACACGAGTGAATTTAATAAGTTGGAATTGTTAGAATGGCAGATCGAATTTCAAGATTTGTTGAAGGAAGAAGGAAAATGTGACATAAATTTATTCTTAAGTCAGATTGAAGAGAAGTAAGATATGTCCACAGATTTCGAGATGCCATACAATTTAAAGAAATTTAAAAGAGAGAGAAATAAAGAGCTCAAAAAGAAAACAAGAGGAAATACGGCATGGGCATTGGGTATTTTAAAATAATGGGCAGAATTTAGACATGAAAGGACAAATCAATGATTTTCAAATCATTCTGGAAAGGTGGCGTTCACAACAACGCTGTATGAAAGTAGGCATTTTGATTAACAGACCATCATGTCTTGTACTAGTCATTGAAGCTCATTAGTTAGATGTTACAAAAGGGCAAGTTTTACTCTTGTTAAGTCAGTTTCAAGTGCATTTCAACCACCTTCTGCAGTCGACGTTTCAAGTCCAAAGAAAGCGAAGGTAGACGAGGAAAAAGAAACATGTGGTAGCATGCAAATACACAAGAGACAAAGACTTGGTTGGTTTTTGAACATGAGGAAACACGTATGTCGTTTCCTTTGAAGTGATAGACATGTGTTCGTTATTGATTTTGAGTGCAATATTAAGTTTTTCTGATTTGTTTGTAAGAGTTATTTTCTTTTTAAATTAGTGTGCAACATGAATCTGCTAACTTCATCATAATATGTTTAGATTTTATCTGTTTGTTAGTTATTGGGATATGCACTGTAGAGTTACTATAGTGATTAGTATTCTTGAAGCTCATTGGTATTTTCTATTTAGAGAATTTTAATAAGGAAATGAAAAATAAAATACAATTTCCGAATTAGTATTCTCTATATAGAGAATACTAATAAGCTATTGTTCTCCATTGTTTTCCTCCATCTGTGAATTATCTTAGATCCTTAAAGCCCATATCAATTCATGAATTGTAAGCACTATGTGATATAGAACATCAAAATAAGGGATGCTGATTGGCCGAGTGGCTTTGATCGTGTTTTAATCGTCGTTAAACATATATAGGCTATTGTGTTCGATGCGCTTTAAAGATTTAGCAAATGTTTAAACTGCATTCGTTAATGTTTAATGCGTTTGTTTCAGCGTAAAAAACAAATAGCAAGAATATTTTAAAGAATGAATATTCAATGCGCATTCAGCAGAACTTATCCGACTGACGTGACGTGACATACATCATAAAGTAAGCATATTAAATATATAATTCCGCATTTCACAAGACAAACAAATTGGAACATTGGGATAATAGCTTGAAAATATTCGCTGAACTCTAATCAGAAATTCTTCCAGGGTTTTGCTGGACTTGGTCGGGTAACAACATTAGTAGACGATCTACATATCGCCAGCAAATGTATTTGCAGTGGCTTTTGACACATGTCCGTACTTTAATAGCAAAAATTTGAGTATATGAATTTGCATTCGCTAGGTCGCGTACGTACTTGTGTGATGCGTTAAAAAATAACAAGGAAACCAAAGAAAAAATTTGCACATAGCGCTATAATTTGTTGCACAAGTAACGCCAAAGAAAATGAAAAATTTGGTAATTTCGAGTAAAAGCAAGAAATTTAGAACTTCAATACCAGTCACGTCAATAAGTGCATTAGTTAAACTAATAACTGTCGAATATCACCAATACAAATATAATTACATGCAGTCTGTATATTGACCACTCATGTTGTGTTATAACATATCGCCACAATAGCATCAAAATATCCTTACGCGTACTGAACTATTAGCAATATCGGAAGCGTATATTTATATTAGCTTTCTGACATCATGTCAATTTCGTATATGGAAACTAATGACGACCGTCGGAAGGCCAGACAAGGGTAAGACTGGGACGAATATGTAGTGAGTATTTTGAAATGTGTAGTGAGTATTTTGAAATGTGTAGTGAGTATTTTGAAATGTGTAGTGAGTATTTTGAAATGTGTAGTGAGTATTTTGAAATGTGTAGTGAGTATTTTGAAATGTGTAGTGAGTATTTTGAAATATGTAGTATGATTTTGAGTGATCTTTTCTTATTGTTTGTTATGTTTTTTAAATTGTTTTTCTGGTGACCTGTACCGGCCACCGTAGAATGTATATAAATATATTGAAAATGGGGCTCTCGCTATCTGGTGACTATTTATAAAACGCTTAAACAGAGCAAAACTTTTACAGTTGACAAAATAAAGAAAGTTGTCCAAAGAAAAGTAAATAAATTTAAATAAATTTCATTTTTTTACGTTTTAAGCTCACAATTGCTATCTGGATAAGATTCCTTTAAGAACAATTACTTAAACAACGGTTATTGTGAAACACTTTGAAAGGAGCGTTTGTTTTCACTGTAATCTGGGTCTAATGGCCAGGTGTTTCTTTTGATTCATGCACTCCAATTGGAACCGACGGTGTTTGTTCATCAGCAAATAGATTTTGTTTTTTCATTGTTCCATGTACGTGGCCATGGCAAATTAGATATGTCAAATATTTCTTTACTTATCATACATAATTTATATCTAATTTTCAGAAATGCAAGTGGATTCCATCGTTTCGAGGTATTTTAACAAAGTCATGTTAGCTTGATAAAGCGCTTGTAATTTCTCCATGCCATTCGTGCGGACAGTCGACAAAGAAAGTTATCCACAATAAAATCACAAATGTGAAGTGATGTCAGTTTTTGACGATGTGAACTCATAATTGTCATTTGGGTAAGCTCTCTGTCAGAGCAATATGGTCTTTCAAGAAAAGATTCCCGTCTCTTAATATCCTGTTCTTGTGAAACACTGTAAAAGGAGCTGTTACTTTCACTCTAATCTGGGTCTAATGCCAAGTAATGTTCACTATCTTTATCGTCCCACTTCCGAAGCAATTTAATGAAAAAGTCAAAGTGTGATAAAACTTCACGAACATGATCGCAAAAACAAGGTGAAAACATTGAATTGTATTGAAATTTGTCCTTAATGAATTCATTCATTTTGGATACGGTGGTAATTCGATGTGGTGATATCTTAATGGCAACTTTAATAAACTCCATATAACCGTAAAGTGGATCTGCTGGCGTTTCATTTGGTAAAGTGCACAATGAAAAACTAAATTCGCTATAGTTTTAGTTTTCAAATCCAAAAACATTTCTGGTTACCGTCGTTTTCTTCTCGGTTGGCTCTTCCATGGGAGAATCTTTGTTTGTTAGATCGAGAAAGTTTGTGTTTGAGCCTGTTAAATGAAATGCAGCTTTTGCTTTTTTGTCATTGTTTGTTTTCACTGGTGGTTGAAAAAATAAGTATAAAGTGGTTTTTGGAAGAAGTTCTAGAATATTTCCAGAACTTTAAAGTCACATCACTTGACAATGTCTTAGAAAAATCTAAGTGGATGTCACCATAGTCTTTTTCAACTTGTAAGATTGCCTTAAAACGACACGATAAAGACGAGATTAAAATGAAAGACATTATTTGTTGCGCAGAGTCGAAGAACGCAAGTTCAGGGGAGAGGATGAGGGGTGAATATTTGTTCTGTCTTCCTGAATTTGTTTGAAATCAAAATCGCAAACAAAAGAAATAGCAGGCAAACACAAATATATGAATATCTCCACCACCACCCCACCCCAAATTAGTGTTCTAGTTTTGCCCTTGTTGTCGCGTTGGAAACATGTTATAACGAAAGATCTGTGTTGAGTATGAAGATTCTTAGTGGAGGCACCCAACAACATTTAGCTTTATGAAGCGTTCTCAAACATTTTTATGAATGAGCATAACAATAAATGAATTTTATACATTGTGTATCCTAAAAAAGAAGATCGTAACATTAACGAAGATTTAATGCTAAACACCCTGCTAAGTCACAAGTGCATTAAGTACCTTTAGTCAGTTACGAGAGATTATTAGATATCCTTGTATTAGCAAAAAAGCTTTTCTGTTCTACGGAATTTATCAGAACTTCTAGCCACTTGTCATAGCAAATTATGCGAAGTAATGTACCAGTGAGATTACTATAAAAATCTAGCAATGATATTTAAATATACGTTTCTTCTTTAAGGCCTTCAATTTTACACACTCTTTGTCAAGGGGTACTTTTTTAGGCATTTTCTAGGGACACATGCAAACACCTTTAACGTGTTGACTCAGCATGCTATCTACATGTAGACTCAAAAAGCATTTGTACACCCTGTTTTGAGTGGCATTGAGCGCAGGGGCGAAATTTAAGGGGTATGGGGGAACTAACCCCCAAAAATGTTAACGTTGCACGGCAACGATTGAATTTGCAGGGCTAATTACAAAACTAAACACTAGGATACGTGCGAACAGTTATCCAAATAATTTGAAAATATAGTTCAGTTTTAATTTAAGCTGG